TGCTGTACACCTGAAACTAACATGGTAAATCAACTATACCTCAATAAAAAACAAAATTTAAAAAAAAACATAAAAATTAGATGATGTCATTCTCCTGTTTCACATCCTTTGATAGCACCTCACTACCACCAGAACAAAACCCCACTACTCACCAGGGCCTGGGAGACTCTCTGTAACTGAGCCCCCGCCTGGTCCCCTAGTTCACCCCACTCTCCCCGCCCCACCCCTGCCATCCCCTGAACACACCGCACTTACTGCTCCCTGACAGCCTTTGCCTGACTTTCCTGCTGTTCCTCACAGGCTCTCAAACCTCTTCAAAGAGCCCTGTCCCAGCTTCCCACAAGATTAGTTTCTTCCCTCCCTGTCCTGCTCTCTCTCCCATTGCCCTAATTCATCTTCCCAAAGCTTTTACGATCTGAAATTCTCTTGTGTGCATGTTTACTGACCCAGTCCCCGACTACAGGTCACTAAAAAGTCAGCCTCTTGTGAGCAGAAACTGTAACTATCTGGTTTACTTCCATGAATGCCCGGCAGACGGTAAGCACTTGGTAAATATTTTTTGAGGGAATGAATAACAGAATAGCAGAACGGCCACCCCAAAGGTTAGATGAATTTCCCAATCAATCTACCAAGGGCCTGAGTCAGCTTTTTTTTAGATGCCGCTCACCCATCCACAGAGCATCAGGTTCAAAACAGTGAGTATTGAGAGCGATATCTCCTCCCATAGTATCTCTGCTCCGCTGCTACCTCCGCATTCTGAACCAGAAGAAGTGGACATTTGTGACAGACTAGGTGCTTTCCGACGCCCAGAGACAGGCAACAGATGTCTGAAAGACAAAAAGGAGCTACAGGAAGCTGTGGGGAGGTCTTTGGCCCTTGAGGCAGAAAGACCATTGGCCATTAAAGACTTGGACGGAGGACACGTCAGAGCAGCAAGGCGAAGAAGCCGGCCCCCTGCACGGCCAGGCCCTTCGGCCCTAGGAACTGTGAGAGACACTCATAGGAAACACTAAATGCTGATGACTTTCTCAGTTTATGATCCCTAATTTCATCTCGCTCTTCTGGGAGTTCGACTTGCTTTCTGTGCTGGCAAGCGGGCAGACCCAGCAGTGACCGTGCACCTGTGATCATGACCTACAGTTTTGAGGTGAGCACTTGAGATAAGAGAGCCAAGCCAATGAGATGTCACCGGGCCCTTTCTGTTACAAATACTTTTATCCAAAGGATTACGTGAACTAAAATGCAGGTGTGGCATATTGCAAAGAAGTTGCAAAACCTGTGATAGGCAAGGCTCACAAGGAGAATTTAAATGTCATCATGTGAAAATGTTAGCTCCTAAACTGAAATGGAACCAAATGGTTTAGCCCTGTCAGTGTAATACTGAAGTGTGATTTCCGCTGTTACCGCTCACCGCAAGGGAGCAACGTCTCCCTGGGAGAGGAAATCAGAAAGAACAGTTAACACTAACAAGGCATGAAGATCCAGCCCTGCCTGCAACGACCTCTTCTCATCCAAACTCTCATTCATTCAACATCTTTTACTTTTCTTTTTTTTTTTTATTGAAGTCTAGTTGATTCACAATGTTGTGTCAGTTTCAGGTGTACAGCAAAGTGATTCAGGTATTCGTATAAATGTATATGTATTCTTTTTCAGATTCTTTTCCATGATAGGTTATTATAAGATATTGAATATAGTTCCCTGTGCTAGACAGTAGGTCCTTCATTGTTTACTTATTTTATATGTAGTAGTGTGTATATGTTAATCCCAAACTCCCAATTTATCCCTCCCCTCCCTGCCTCGACCCCTTACCCCTTTGGTAACCATAGTTTGTGTTCTATGTCTGTGAGTCTATTTGAGCATTTAATGAGATGCTAGCTACCACTGTGCTAGGCACAAAAGAAAATAAATCCCCTGAATAACTCTCTCAAAGAATTTATAATCTAGCAGTGTGGGGTGAGGACAAAAGCAGATACACAGAAGGTATTAAATAAGGCAATCTCTACTAAAGCTTAGAGGATGGAGAGGCAGTTCCAAGGTTCCAAGACTCTTTCCTGAGGAAGATAACAATCACCTTGAAGGATGGGTAGGTCTTATCGACAGAAAGAGGCCAGGGTAGATAGACCAGCCTAAGTGACGGGGAACAGAGAGAAGACGTACGCATTATGGTCTGGGGCACAGGATGCGGTCATGCGAGGGCTGGGGAACATAACTCTCTTCAGTTAGACTCTAACTAAAGGACAGAGCTTTTCTGCTCTCCCCTGCTTTCCCTCAGACCCAGTTCTCCACGCGGGGTCCACTCTAAATCATATGTATTAAATAAAGAAGAAAGTAAATCCAGGGAGAGAAAAAAAGAAATCCATCCAACTCGCTTTGAAGTTGCTGCTGCTCTGGGTGTTCTTGGGTTCTCAGGTGCAGAACTCTGCACATCCTTGGTTCTGGGTAGACACTTGTGTTATCTCACTGACAACATAGGGGCATTTAAAGAAAGTGCACGTGGCCAAGAGTGGGGAGGCGTGGCACTAATGTGTGTGTGAATCTGCAAAGTTGGAAAAAGCTATTGGGCCCAATACCTTGCGGATGTTGGAGGGGAAAAGAAAAAGAGAGAGAGAGAGAGAGAAGACTGATCTATAAATCAATTCTACTGCTGCCATAATGGCTAAATGGAGAGTTAATACTCTTGTTACATAATTCCAGAAAGTTATCAGAATCCAGAAATAAACTCATTTTATATTTTCTCTTTTAGGAGTATATCCAGTAAATATTTAAATATTGTTTTTAAACGATCGTGATGGAACTGCAGCATGGGACTGTGTAAGGCAAACCACACTGCACGAGGAATCCAGAGACCGCATTCTGCTCTGTCACTCACTTGCTGTGGAACTGCAGGCAGGGAGCCTGACCTTCCGAGCCTCCGGCGGGAGGAGGCGAGGCTGGAGGAGAGCAGATCTTGGGGCGGGGCTGCTGCTCAAATGTGGGTCCTCCTCACAACTTTCACCAGCCTTTCGGGTAATGACATCTACGGGCCCTTCAGATGCTAAAGTGCCCTCTGGGTCTATTTTACGATGTCATCTTTAGGTCTGAGGACAAAGCCTTGAGAAAAGCATCTTACGTGAATCTAGGAACGGACAGGTTCCGAAGGCCATTTTAAAGGTTTTAGTCATTGGCAAAAAATAATTCATGAACTAAGGATTCAACTATAAAAATCAAACATTTGAAGAACCCAGGGGCTGCCAAAACATAGAACATACATTTCTCTTGTATATATCTTACTAGTCATCATAAGACCCTTACAAATCTTATATTCACACACACACACACATATATAAATATATACACAAATGCTTCTATACACACAGAGTCTAAAGAATACTACAAAGACAAAAGCACAGCTATTATGAACCTTGATCAATGATCTAAAGCCCACACTTAGACTACTATGTATAAAATATATAAGCTACAGGATACATTGCACAGCACAGGGAACACAACAAATACTTTATGATAACTATAAATGGAGTATAATCTATAAAAATTTTTGAATCACTGTGTTGTATACCTGAAACTAATATGACACTGTCAATCAACTATATCTCAATAAAAAAATAAATAAAAAATAAAGTCCACTACTTTAAATGCCATTGAACCTATAGCTACAAGCTTCAAATTCACAAGTTAGTGTGACTTTCACCCTTGCGTTTTCAGGAAGGACACATGTCTAGTGAGCACATTAACCTGATTCCTACATTTCAACATTTGGAGGTTTATTTAAACCTAACATATGGCTGTTCTTCACAGAGTTCCAAGGTTTCCCCCTTATGCACATATCTGGTTCTCTTCAGTGTTTAGATATTTAATTTTTATAATTCTATATTATTTAAAAAATATATACTCAGGCATACCCATATATTCAGACTAATACACATGTACCCACAGAAACCTAAGTTAATATCCAAGAAGACATACACCTGATGTGGGCAGGAGAGAAGAAAAGGTAGGTCATTTCATTTATAGACAGTTATGTTTATAAACCATTAAGGACACTCAAAACCTAACCATCATAGGAAAAAAAAAAAACCCAACCTTGAGAAAAGGTCCACGTTGAGAGTTTACTGTACATTTTGTTTTGAGTTATTTTCCCTCTGGTCTAGCCCCTCTGCCAACAATAGCAACTGGATGACATGTGAGTTCCTTTCGGCTCTCAATACTTGCGATCTGCAAATTGAAGAGCTATGATGATTAGCACACTCTCTTGTCACCGTGACATAAAAGCAATCAGACTAGTCCTACAGTAAGATCTATTTATGCCCAAGTGGGGCAGAGGAAAAAAAAAGAGCTGGGAGTCTTAACGCACCAAATGTGAATGATTAGTCTGTAATGCAAGGCTGATGTTCTTTTTTAAGAAGAAGGGTGAAGCCAGCAGCACACTAGAATGCAAAAAGAGAAATGTCGCGGGAGGAACAGGAGCTAAATGTGAATCAGAAGGGAATTCTGTCTGCCCGATGAGCCGCTCGCTGGCCCGGCCTTATAACCACCAGTCAAGGTTTCCTGTTAGCCCTGGGCAATTTTTAAACAAACTTAATGAAATAGTTATACATGTAAAAAATTTAAGCCCAAATCTGAGACGGTAACACTAGTTTTTTAATAGTGAGGGTGTGATGTTATCCCCTGCACCACCTGGACACGATATAGAAACTTACAACAAATATTCTCCCAGAGAGCGTGGTATTACCATTTCACCAGTGTGCGGACTGCCATCGCTACAGAGGACAGCATCAGCAGAAACTTCCCCCAAATTTTATCCCCAAATTATTGAATATTGGAATTTGTTGTTCATTTTAAAAAAAAAAAGAAGAAGAAGGTCAACATCTTCAAGTGTCGATTCTTTCATCATAAGCCATTTCCCAGCTCCAGGAGTTTTGCAGTGAACACATCTCATCTCTTAGCCCCTCACCCCCAGGCTGCCAGAGTCTGTGCAAGTGAAACCTATGAGTCTGTCTTACCTGTAATCTGACTCTGTCCTTGTGGATTAAAAGGACTTGGTGCAGAGTTCAGGGAGGGCCGTGGGTTCTGAGGCGGGACACCTACTCTCATACTGGGATGAGGAATGCGCCCTAAATCACTGAGGCGGTCAGAGAACAAACTAGGTTTAGAGTCATCAAGCTTCTGTCTGTGCCCTGGAAACAGCAAATCATAAAATAAAAGCATATTAATTAGCTGAACAATTGACCATGCTAAATAGATACGTGAACATACATACGGGGGGTGGGGTAGTTAAGCCAAGGAATTTTCAATATTGATATTTACAGTGAAGTGTCTGTATAATGCCTTCCCTTTCGAATGGCTTTATAAGCATCACCTGGTGACAAGCATCCCTGGTTCTGTTCTATGAATGGAGAGCTGAGGGGCCCAGTGGGTGACTCAGAGCCAAGCATCAGTGGTGGGGCCAGGACGCTGGAGCCCACAGGGACTCTCCGGACACCCCCTCTGGCCTCTCAGTGAGGATGGGAAGGGTGAAGGAATGTGTCCCGGGGTGTGTTTGCTCATTTCATGGAGGAGGAAGCCTCCACTGGACGTTCAGAGTCCGTTCATGGGACACACATGGCGCCAGACTTGGGGCAGAAACAAACACATTTGTCAAAGGGGCATTTCACAATGACCACACGTGACTGTTTCTTTCTTATGTTACAATGGTACCTTACTGAGACTCTTTTCAAAAAAATTAAAACTCAAACTGAGAACTCCTTTAAGAGGAAAACAACAGAAATACAGGCAAGGAAATTCAAATCCTCAAGAGGAACATGGTTATTTTGTGATACCCTAAAGCCTGAAAGCACCTAATAGACTATGTTAAATCAGGGAGGTGCTTTTTTATTTTAAATATAGTACTGGGGTTCTGTCAGAGAAACTGAAAAATACCCTTTGGGTTACCATGTGAATGTAAGAACCTATTATCCAAACAAAACAAAACAAAACAAAACAAAACAAAAAGAAACCACTTGGTCTCTCTTCTAGTTTCTTCAAGTGTAAAATCCAAGGAGATTCTAGATATTGAAGAAATATGCAAATTGAAATATAACTGAGGGACTAAAACTTTTAAAGTATCCTCAAATCACCCTTAGCAAAGGATCTGGTGGTATTGCCTTAGTGCAGTGGTAACAGAAAGACACCTGAACCTTGGTGTGACGTGAGTTGGGTGTATTCCAGCAGAGTGGTGCTGTGGGGGACAGGCAGTGACGCCTGCCTACTGCTCAGTCAGAAATGTACTGCAGATTCCTCGTTCTGTGGTCTGTACTGGTGAAGCCTTAGTATGTTGCCCCAACATTTTAGTAAAATGTTAAGCAACTGAAGCTGATTCAAAGAAGAGCCATTTAAGATGATGGCAGAAAAGGAATCTGCCCTGTGAAGAAAAATTAAGGGCATCCAGAGTATTATCCGTAACAGGAGAAAATCCTGCAGGAGGATTACTAAGAGCCTTCCAGAATGGACATGTATGTCCTACAAGCGACAAGGACACCTCATCTCCCACTTAGGCACGCGACAGGAGGAATGTATCAGGACAGGGTTAAGCCAAACATTAGAATTTCCCGACTATAAGCTGTCTTCCTAAGACAAATTCCTTATTTTATTTGCCCCTAAATGTATTTTCCTGTCTCCTTTTTCATTGCCTACCCAGCCCAAAGAAAACAGACAGGAAGCCAAGGCTTGGTAACATGAGTGTAGCTGTCTCCACAGCCAAACAAGTTCCAACTGGGCCCACTAACTGAAATGCACCCACCACCTTATTTCCTGCCAGTGTCATTGCGGGGCACGTGCTGTAACAGGGGGTCTAAGACATGGAGAAAAATGATCAGAGGAAAACTGGGGAAACTCCCTGTTTGTTCATGGTTGTTTTCCACACCATTTATGACTTTTTATTGAGATTCCAAATAGATTTGAGAAATCTAAAGAACCTGTAGAGATGACCCAAAACAGCTCCTAGGCCCCAGCAAGTCAAGTGCTCATAGATGAACTGACCATGGCCTGCAGAGATAAAACGACTAGCTCGTGGGCTCAGCTCTTGACTAGCCAGGCCTGGACCAGGATGCTGTCGGACCAGGATGCTGTCTGAGTCTTCCTGGACTGGGCTTTCCACTCATCCTGTGGCACAGATGCTGGCATGCCCGCTTCTCTCCTCTTCCTCACCCAGCTACTGTGGGGGATTCGCCTGAGTGAGGCCCCTGAGGACCAAGCCCTGGGAGATGTCAGGCTGGTTTTCAAGGCAGAAAGAATCAGCAGCAAGGATTCAATTGCCAAGTTAACAGCTCATCCCAGTACCCTGAACAAACTTCCATCAATCCATCTTGCTGTGTCTTACAAGTTTCATGAGTACTTGACACAGTACTTGTCACACTGAGATCTACCAATTCTGTTCCTCACACATACCGAAGAAGAAAAAAAGCACTGGTGTGGTGTTGATACAGCTGTAAATATTAACAAGAAAGCTTACGGAATGGTCCCTGGAAATTATTTTTTAATAGGCCATATTTTTGGAATGGCAGACTCCCTGAGGGCTGAGGGGAGAGCTGCATGATTTTGCGTGGTTCCTTTATATCCTGGGACTTCCTGTGGGCCATGGGTCATGAGAAAACTTAATAAGCTTAGCCTCTGCTTTCTACAGCCCTTTCATTAGGTTTTCATGGAGATCGTCTAAGATGTGAACTCAGAATGTGGATGTGTGTCTTCTCTAAGTCCGGTGCTACAGGGCAGTAATCGGAGGTCGTAGGCAAGAATAAAGGCCTTGGAGGGGCACTGATGTGGGTGAGAAATTTAACAGCAGGTGAAATTCTAAAAGCCTCAATGACCTTTTGGAAATGATCTTCAAAGACCGGCTACCAAGCATCTACAGACATCTTCCAGTAACTCAGGGAACATCTCTCTGCAGCTGCATACACACAAAAAACATATGCGTTTTCCCTTGTAGAACGGCTGCTCCTTCACCACCACCACTGCAACCACAACAAAATCCTTAAGGCAGAATGAAGAGCAAAAGCCCAACAGGGTCTTCATCTTTCAACCGTGACGAATACCTGCCACCACTAAACCACATCAGAGTAACACGCGGATGATGGGCTGAAAGAAGATGTACTTCAGTCCTCAGCACCCGAGCGCTCCCTTCAGAAACGGAGAACTCAGAAGACAAAGGGCACGCTGACTTAAATCAAGGACATGGGGCTCTGCCCTGGGACAGGGAGAAGGAGATCTCATCTAAAGGGCCAAAGAGCAGATCTTCCAAGCAGGAGAAAGCAATAAAGAATGGAGAATTGCTGTGTGTTACCTAAGACTACGTAAATGCTCGGTGCTGGGTCTTCCTTTCCAGCTGCACTGCCTGCCTTGAGCTATGGCTCTTCCACCGTCACAGGATAAAAATATTCTCTAGGGAGAAATGCAAATCAAAACTACAATGAAGTATCACCTCACACCGGTCAGAACAGCCATCATTTAAAAAGTCCACAAATGATAAATGCTGGAGAGGGTGTGGAGAAAAGGGAACCCTCCTACACTGTTGGTGGGAATGCAAATTGGTGTAGCCATTATGGAAAACAGTATGGAGATTCCTTAGAAAGCTAAAAATAGACTTACCCTATGATCCAGCAATCCCACTCCCAGGCATATATCCAGAAGGAACTCTAACTCGCAAAGACACACGCACCCCAATGTTCACAGCAGCACTATCAACAATAGCCAAGACATAGAAACAACCTAAAAGTCCACTGACAGATGACTGGATAAGGAAGATGTGGTATGTATATACAATGGAACACTACTTGGCCATAAAAAAGAATGAAATAGTGCCATTTGCAGCAACATGGATGGACCTAGAGATTATCATACTAAGTGAAGTAAGTCAGACAGAGAAAGGCAAATATCATATATAACATATGTGGAATCTAAAAGAATGATACAAATGAACTTATTTACAAAACAGAAAGAGACTCAGACACAGAAAACATATTTATGTTTACCAAAGGAGATAGGGGGTAGGAGAGGGATAAATTAGGAGTTTGGGATTTACAGATACAAACTACTATATATAAAATAGATAAACAATAAGGTCCTACTATATAACACAAAGGAACTATAGCTAATATTTTTGTAATAACCTATAATGAAAAAGAATATATATGTATATAACTGAATCACTATGCTGTACACCTGAAACTAACACAACATTGTAAATCAACCATATTTCAATTAAAAAAAAATTCTCTAGGGAGCTTTGAAAAACATGGATGTCCATCAGCTCAATTAAATCAGAATCTCTGGAAGAAGTTCCTGGGGAAAGTCATTTTTAAAGCTCACCACATAACCCAATGTGCAGCTGAGGTAGAGAAACACAGCCCAAGCTGAGCTCCCAGCCCCACACACTGGATGCCACCTACTCAAGCCAATTTGTCCCCACTGCTAGGGTGAGCCTTGTCCTCTGTCTTGAGTGTCAGGTTCTGTGTCCCACTGCCTACCTGACTCTCCCTTGGGATGACACAAAGGTATCTTAAATGCAGCAATATTTAAGACAAGTGTTCTTGACTCATCTCTCCAAAAAACCCTGTTCCTCCTTAAGAGTCCCCCATCTCAGTAAGTGGCAGCAGCCAATCAGTTCCTTCAGCCCAAAACCTTGACACTTTTCTTGATTTCCCCTCATCACTCACTCCCCACCGTTAATCTATTACCAAATCTGGTCATTTCCATCTTGAAAGTCTATCTCAAATCTTTTCAGTCCTCTCATTTCCACCAACACAACCCGAGTCCAGGGCCCCATCGTCCCTCTCTGGGCATCTGCCACTGTCTCCTTTTAGTGTCCCACACCAGGACCTTTCCGAACTCCAGAAATGCTTTCCCCCGATTCTCTGTATAGCCCACTCTTTCTCATCCCTTAGATCTCGGAGTGAACACCCCCTCCCATGAGAGGTGCCTGCCTACTGCACCCAGAGTAGGGTGCCTCCCTACAAGCACATCCTGTTTATTTCCCCAAGGGCCGTTACCACCATGCGTCATTCTCTAACGCATCCCGGGGTCTCCCCTGCAAGACTGTGTGACCCATGAAAATGAGCGCTTTGGCTTGTTGACAGCTGGATCCTCATAACCTAGTTCAGTGCCTGCCATACAGTAGATGCTCAATAAATAAATAATGAATGAA